CAGGGAAAATTTGCCTCTCCAATGTGTAGCCGCTCACCGCGAGGCCGTCGGCCGCTCATTTACAGGAAAGCAAGTGGGATCGAAATTTTGAACTTTCCATTGGTGATTAACATAATATGGAGTGCTTTGCTTCATATTATATAGAGTGCAAAGCATCTCCATTATTTGCATCTGCTGGAGTTATTGTGGGTTGTGACGGGTACGCTCTTCTGAAATGAATTTGGCACCATAGCAATTGGATTTGGCACCCTAACAGGAAGGGTGTGTCTGCATCTCGTCATCTTATTCAATACTTAGTCGTGCAAGATATAGTTGATATGTTACTTTTATATTTTCCAGCATGATTCCATCGCTTTCCGCGCCACTGGATGCACAGAATGGACAAGCAGTTCTCGATCGTACTTGAATCCTCGCGTGAGCTGCACTGCATTCGAAAAGGCAGTGTTCTTGCATTGCAGCAAATGGTAGTTGGCTGTGTTTCCAACTCGGATTGCCTAGCAGTAACAGTTGCAGCGAGGTGCGTTGCGACGCATGTCTAGCCGCCTCCTCTCCCGTAGACACAGGTCAGCGGACCGCTGTGCCTAGGATGCCTGATGGCTGAAGGGGAAGTTAGCTGCTTTTGGAATACTCTGCTAAAAAATCTTAGTTGGCCATCAGTAAACAGCGGGCACGCAAGTATAAGTGCCTGTCCGCAGGAGAACGTCAGCTGTTGCACTTCATTCAAGAAATGCATTCTGAGTAGACAACCGTTGCAGTTCATTCAAACAATACATTATGAGTAGAGTGACTAAAACGAATGCCTAGGTTGACTTCGTGGGTAACTGCAGTGTTCAGCCAAACATCAGTCACCAGGTGGCCGGGGCACAGTGGCTGAAGGTGTAACGCTTGTTCTCTGGCCTTTATCTGAGAAGAGACGAGCCGCAATGAAGGCAAAGACTTAAAGCAAGAGTTTCCCAAAAGCAGATGACCTCCTTCCTAGGTCCCTAGGCATCCTGGCCGTTGAGCTCAGGGCCTGGGTGTTGCGGGGAGGAGGCACCCAGAAATTGGGTTCCAGCGCACCCCGCTGCGGCTGGTACTGCAAGCGAGGGAAGCTTCCTTTGCTGCATGCTTTGCCTCTGAACGAACTTGTAGAACGGTTGCAAGCGCTTACACGCAGCATGCCAAAACCGTTGAAAGGCTCCTGAGCTAACTCTGCGCTAACTCATGCTACAGAAGGGGCTGGAGCTGATGCAGACAGCATCGGGCCTGCTATGAACTGGAGCGAAAAAACTTTGCAGCAACTTCTGTTGAAGGGAAGCAGCATGCACGCATAACACACAACCATCTTTGCCGAATGCAATCGCACTCGAGACAATTCTTAAACATTTATTTGGCCATAAATCCTCGGACCAACCTCACCAATATCAGAGAGACCATGATACAGGAACTAAGAGAAGTTGAAAGCAGGGATACATCGCCGAGTTTTCTTCGTGGACACTTCAGCTTGATTTGTATTCAAAAATACACCTGGCTTAATTATGCCCTCCAAACAGCCAAAATCCTCTAGTTTCACAGCATAGTACTTCGATATGGCGTGACTATAACGGTTGCTCTCTAGGCTTAATCAATGACAAAAGCTGGTAAACCCCAAAGCCGAAGCCGTAAACAATACAAAATCATACTTAGCCGCTGAGACAACAACAACCAGCTCACTTCAAAGCCTTAACCCTAGAGAATAAGCCTTAAACCGTAAAGTCTTGCCCTAACAATCTCCTTCAGCATGTCCCGAAAGCCAGAGGATAGGGCATCACCTTTAGTTTTATGGAGTTGATAGCCCTGAGCAGCTCCCTTCTTCTTCTGTTTCGTTATCTGAAGAGTCAGCTGCACCGCGCCGCTTACCGGCCGTTTAAACTGCAGAAAGCAGATGAATAAACAAGTAAAACATGAGGGAAAGCTGACGGGAAAGCACGGAAAGAGAAGGAGAGCCGTAGCTCCTCCAGGAGTGCGTTGGGGGCCAGGGAGTGAGGGCAAGGCAGCGGGGGGAGGGCGCTGAGGATACAGGGAGCGCATAGCGGGCACCGGCGCTGTGACGAACTTCCGCTTAAAAATGGCAGCGGTGGTAGCAGTGGGAGTATAAAAAGGGGAGCCGTTAGACTGCTGAGAAAGCATAACCCCGACTGCGGCGTCGCTGGCATTGGTATCCAGGAAAAGGGGTTTATCAAAATCAGGGAGCTCGAGTGCTGGGGATGATGCCAAGTGCCTGCGCAGGGAATGAGCTCGATGCGATGCGTTGAGCGTCCAGCGGGTGTTCTGCCCCTCGGTAGACCTTTGTTATTAAGTACATACGAGAAATCTTCCTTCAACTTTGCCCACTTCTGCCGCTCCCAGTCTTTTAAATGGATCGAGTTCCCCAGGACTGCGGTCTTTACCAGACCGTCACGAAGGGGTGCATGCAGGTCTTCGTTTTCTTTGGTGCCTCTGCACTGCATAGGAGTCTCCGCTCCGCTTTCCTTCGGTCACAGTCTCTACTCGCCGGAGCACAGAGGATGCAAATGCCGATGGGAGCGCTGAGAGGTGAAGACTCTCATCAGCTCTTGCTGAAAAGACCTCTATGGCATCATAAGAGGAATGCAGTTGCTTCTTCTATCCGGTCACCCACGACATGCCTTGGAATATGTCATGGTGAAGTGGTCCAACGTTGAAGTCGCTCGTCCAATCAATGTGACCCGTGTTCTCCGCCCATCGTTTCACCGTTTCTTGTATCCTGTCTGCCATCCGCGAAGCGCAGCCTCAGGGATTGCGCCAATGGGTAGTCAGGTAGGCTGCAACTCCTTGCTGTGGCTTCCGATATCAGATCCACTTCGCATCCCGTATCGAGTAGGGCTAGTAACTCCTGCCATTTAATGCGTACTTGCACACGCGCTGAATTGACTCAAGGTGGATCTGCGGGTGGGGCCGTTATCTCATGTGGCCCCATCGCTACGCCGGGAGTTGCGTGGGGGCCCGGGTGCTTCCCTGACTGCTGCGTGTGTTCCCTTGGCGTCGCTGTTTGATATTTGGTCTCAGTTGTCCCCTAGCCCTTTTCATGAGCCGACGACCTCGGAATGCGTGGACCTGCTTATAGCAAGGGAAACAAGTGCGCCGTTCGGTATCTCCTTGCTGTGTGGGTGTTGACTTCACTGTCTGCTGTCGGTTACTGCTTCCAGACCCCCTTTTGACTGGTCTGGCGTTCACAGACTCAATATATATATGCAATTAATGAGGATCATTCCCAGACCCGCTTTCTTTCTTTTCATCTAAGGCTGCGTATGTAGTGAATACTCCCTACAATCACGGCAGCAATGCCGTGCTGTTTGTGAAGTGAGTGAGGGTTGTATGAATAGTGAAAGTGACTGTCAGTTCTTATTGATATACTTTGAATAT